GAAACTGATGTGCTCCCCAGCTCCTATCAGGCGCAAACAGCTTCTTGGTAGGGGTGGACTCTCTGCTCCTCTCAGTGCTGGGACCCTGTCTGGTTGACCCTCTCCGGCTTGTCTTCTGCACGCCGCCAGCATGAGTTCATACGTGCATCCGAGTTCATACGTGCATCCGAGTTCATACATGCATCCGTCCTATGGGATCTGGCAGACTCCATTCCCTCTTGCTCTCACAGCCTCTCCTGTGGAGATTCCCTGAGCCCTGAGGAGAGGGCTCTGATGAAGACCCCGTTTAGGGCTAGGTGCTCCTAGGTCTCTCCCTCCCTGCACTGTCTGGTTGTGGGTCTCTGTGTTAGTTCCATCTGCTGCAGGGAGAAGCTTCTCTGCTGAGGGCTGGGTGATTCCCCGACCCGAGTCACAGCCTGGCGTGACAAGGGACTTCTGATCGGCGTGTTGGAAATCAGAGTTCACGTCCTGATGGACAGGAGTGTGCAAAGGTTGACCCAGACATTGTTTAACCCCTCGCCTCTCAAGAATCCCTGTCTACTTCTCTTCCTTAGTAGCCTTCAGAGGGCTGCACTTTAGGTTCTGTGTTTGAGGGTATTAAAGTGTGTTCTGTGGTCCACCAGCACCCACAGCTGCAGGAGCTGCTAATTGCAGAAGTCCAGCCCTTCTGATGGACACATGGTTTCCAACCCCTAGGTGGAGGAAGTAGGTTATGTATTTGTTAGCATACATACTCCCTAGATTGTTTTTTTTTAATTTTTTATTTTATTTTTTTTTATTTATTGCCGCATCCTAGCAAGTGGAGCTGAGCTCCAAGCCTCTCCCCCTGCAGTCCCTAAATGGGGGCGTATTATTTTTGGAGTTCTGAGGCAATGTGTCTGAATTCCTTTGGTCTGAGTGGCGTGGCCATGTGTGTCTCTTTATAAGGCGAGTGCACTGCCCACAGATAACCCCAGGTGGGCTCGAAAGGCACACGCTGTTTCCAAAGATAGCGGTGTCAAATCCTGCTGATGATTCTGAAGGCTTGAATGTGCTCGTGGGTGCACAGCCTTATATAGTGAGGCGAGGCCCCAGGAAGGATCAGTGCACAGCCTTATATAGTGAGGCGAGGCCCCAGGAAGGACCGGGGCACAGCCTTATATAGTGAGGCGAGGCCCCAGGAAGGATCAGTGCACAGCCTTATATAGTGAGGCGAGGCCCCAGGAAGGACCGGGGCACACGTGCTCTTAAATGCCCCTGCTCTCAGAGCTCTGATATGTCTCTCTCAGCAGCTGACATCGCGTGCTCTGTGGCTATCTTTGCAGAGTGTCCCGCCCTGTTCGGTGCACAGGTGACAACAGGTGCTCACGGCAAGCGAGCCGGACAGCTGAATTCTAACCGTTGTAGAAGGCAGCACACAGCTGGAGGGGATGCCTTCCCCATGGAGTGCACTGTGAGATGGGGATTCTGGGTCCTGGGGAAGATGGACCAGCGATGGTGTGAAGGATAGGTTGGGTGGCTCATGCTGAACAACCTTCTCAATTGTTGTACTCTCGAAGTTGGTGTAAATGTTTGTATTTGTTGTGGTTTGGATCTCAGGTGCCTGTTGGTGGCTCACATGTTAAATGCATCAGCACCAGCTTGGGGCACCTGTGAAGAGCTGGGGTACTGCCAGAAGGTGGGGCCTTAACGGAAGCCCTGTGATTCTCTGGAAGGAGCCCCCCTCAAAGTCCGCTGGCTGTGCCTCTGCTAGGGCTCCGCTGTCTTCTGGGAAACCCACAGCTCAGGCTGGGGGCAGGAGAGAGCAAAGAGGAGAGAGAAGCAAAGAGTAGACAGGGAGAAGCCAGAGATGCCTGATTCCACCCGGCTGGTCAGAAGCCTGGGAGACAGGCCTCTGGGTGAGCCTGTGGGGGCTTATCCTGACTGTGCTGATGTGGGAAGACCCACCTTAGCTGCGGGTGAGACTGTTCCCTAGGCAGAGGACCATGGCTTGTTCAAAGTGGGCGGCGTGAGTTGAGTGACAGACACATTGATCCTTCCATTTCCCAGTTGGATACCGTGTGACTGGCTGCCTCAAGCCCTTGCCACTTCCGCTTGTGGGCCAGAAGGAACCCTTTCTTTCTGGAGTTGCCTGTTTGGGCACGCCAGTGAGAAAGGTTACTGAGACAGACGTCGGCGAGGCGGAGGGTTCTGTTCTCTCACTCTGTGACTCGTGCAGCGATGAGCACGTGTGTACAGGTGTCTCCGCGACAGCACTCGAGCCCTTTGGGTGTGTGCCCAGGAGTGGCAGCTGGGCCATACGGTGGCTCTATTTTTGGATTTTTGAGGAACCTCTGCACTGATTTCCACAGTGGCCGCACCAGTTTGCACGTCACGGACTTTGTTCTAGGGCCCTTCTTTATAGCTTCAGCCATGTTTGTTGTCTTTCCCACCTTGATTTTAGCCATTCTGACTGGAGTGAGGTAAAAACCTCAACATAGTTTTGTCTTTCCCTGATGGGTGAGGGTGTTGAACACTGGGAACCACCCACTGACAGCTCATATTTCTTCTTTTAAGGGCTCTCTGTTCATCTCATGCAGCTTGATACTGGCTGGAAGGTTTGTTGGGTGTTTAATTTTTGAAGTCCCTTATGTTAATTGTGTGCCTGAATTATAGCTGGTAAAGATTTGTCTCTACTCTGTAGTTGACTCTTTACTCTTCACTGTGAGGCGTTTCAAAATTTCACACAACCCCACTTAATTATTGTGTTTCTGAAAGAGAGAGAGAGAAAGAGAGAGAAAGTGAAGAAGCCTCAGGGGGAGATACCTAGAAGAGAGAGGGAGAGCTACAGAGAGAGAGAGAAAGGAAGAGAGAGAGAGAGAGAGAGAGAGAGAGAGAGAGAGAGAGAGAGAGAGAGAGAGAGAGAGAGAGAGAGAGAGAGAGGAAATGCAGGTCGTGAAAGTAGAAAGGAACCAAGAAAGGGGGAAAAGAGTTCGTAAAGGGTGGGTGGGCAGAGGCTTCCAGAATTCACATGGCTCCAAACCAGAAGGGGCTACTGGGGGAGCCCAACAGGAGGTGGGCAGGGAATGGGGGGAGGGAAGCCAGAAGAGAGTCAACAAAAGCGAAGCAAGCGTGGACCCCGTTTCTTCCAATATGCGCTGGAGACTTTCATGTCAGTTTGAGAGAACCTAAAGCCACCTGAGAGGAGGGAACCTGAATTGAGGAGAGGCCTCCATAAGATCCAGCTGTGGGCAAGAGTGTCAGGCATTTTCTTAATTAGTGATTCATGGGGGAGGGCCCAGCCCATTGTGGGTGGTACCACGCCTGGGTTGGTGGCTCTGGGTTCTATAAAAAAGCAGGCTGAACAAACCCTGGGGAACAAACCAGTAAGCAGAACCCCTCCATGGCCTCTGCATCAGCTCCTGCCTCCTGATTCCTGCCCTGGCTGCGTTCCTGCCCTGACTCCCTTCAGTGATGGGGTACAGTGTGGAAGTGCCAGCCAAATGAACCCCTTCTTCCCTGGCTTTACTTTAGGTCATGGTGTTCCCAGCAGTAGAAAGCCTAGTTAAGACACTACGCTAATCTAAACGTGGTAATTAACAGTGTATACAGTGACCTCTGCCAGTCCACAATCCACAATGCCAAGGAGGGTAGGAAGCAGGCGCATTGTGTAAGAGGCTTTGGCGGTATTCTAGAAGAACCAGGATTGCTGGGAAACGAGTCCACAATAAAGCCTAGCAGGGCCGCTTTTTTTTTCTCAGATAAAAAGTGTTGTGCTCTTGAGAAACAGCTACTTGCAGGGTTAAGAATCCGTTCTTGACCCAGACATACTCCCTCCCAGAGGACAAAGCGACTTTGTCATCTTTGTGATGCACTTTGGGAGGCTTTTCTATCTCATTGACACCGACTAGTATTTTCACTTAATAAGATCTTATATATTTATATAACATATATTATATGTTATATATATTATATATGTTATATACGTTATATATATAACATATAATTAGAAAAACAACATTCAAAGAAAAGAACGGGTTAGATAGAAAGGTCCTGTGAGGAAGGCCTGTGTGCTGAAGGTTTGGTGCCGTGTTCAGAGGTGGGGCTTCAGTGGAGAGAGTGGCACCATGGGGCTTACCTTTGAAGGGTACATTTTGTCCCTAGCCTCCCCCGTCTTCCTGGATGCTATGGGGATGCTCAGTTTTGCCCTGCCCTGTCCTTTGCTGTGATGGTCTGCCTAGTCAGAGCCTCAAAGCAATGGAGTTCGCTGTCCGTGGGCTGTCGTGTGCCTCAGCGATACAAAACTAGCCCAGTTTTTTCACTTCGCGGGTACACGCAGAAGCAGCGGCACCTTCTAAAAGTCCTTCGGACTTTGTCGCAAGAGCCCGAGAGAAGGAGTAACTCCGGGGCAGAAAGCCGGTATTGTGTGGACAAGCCATTGGGGTTGGCTTCCCAGCCTTGCTACCACCACAGCCAATAGAAGTCTGATTTGTACCGAACAGACACGGGCTTCTGTTGTCAGCCTTCCTGACCAGCGCAGTATGATAACGTCTACACAGCATTATTGCGTTACTGTAAGTGATCTCGAGACAGTCTGAAGTGTACGGGAGGATGTGTAGATTATATGTAAATGCTGCACCATTTTGTGTAGGGGACTTGAACATCTCAATTTTGGTGCCCTGCTGCGGGGAATTCTAATTTCCCAGGCACCAAAGGATGGAAAAACATCACGAGGGAGCAGGGGTTGACTTCAAGCCAGTGCACACGATGCTCTGTGACGACCCATGCCGAGTTCCTCTGAAGAAGACAGGGAAAGCTCGGTACAGTGGGCTCTGGCTGGTGCTGGGAAGCCTCAGGGCGCTCTGTGGCTAATAGGTCAGTCAGCACAGCCACCATCCCAGAGATAAGGCTTAGATTCCATTCTTTGAGGAGTAATCTGGGCCCTGTAGCTTCATTCCTGGAATTACTGGCAGCTGATTGTGAGGGAGGTTCCCTGTGGTGTAGTCGGGTACCCGCCTCCCTCCCCAAGCCCAGCCCAAGGACCACCAAGTGGGACTATATCTAGCTACTGGTTTTCTTTAGAGATAGGTGGATCTGGTTTGAATCCCACCGTTAGAGAACTTTCTCTGGACTGCGTACTTCTTTCCTCCTCCAGCTTCAGGGCCCTGTAACAGCACCCAGGTCAGGCGCAAGGCAGGGGTGGGGTGGGATAGGGGGGTGGGGGGGGTGGTCCACTGCCGCCACCTCCTGGACAAGCCTACAGTCCACTCCTAACTAGGTCACACACAAGGAGGGGTGTGCGGGTGAGGAGATGCCACACGGTTGAGAAGAAAAGTCTAGATGCGGGCAGGGAAGGTTCTCACCCTTCTGAGCCCCTAAGTCTCACCCTCTTAGGGGTGTGATTGCAAAGCACACTGCCACCTGGGCGCGTAGGCACCCGGGGCTGGGCAGGGCGGGACCAAACCCGGAGCCCTTCCCCGTCCTGTTCCATGGGTCTCGTGACAACAGTCAGCAGCTTCGATTGGCTGGGCGCTCTGATTGGCAGTCCCGGTGGCGGAGTGGACTCAGCGCAGGGTGGCGGTCGGTCTCCTTCCTCCCCGGGCGATCGTGGGGAAGTCCCAAATGCCTTGTCCTCTTGCAGAATGCCAATAGGACCTGAGTGTCCCGTGGGTCCCGGAGGTGGATCTGCGCCGGAACTCCAGTGGCTTCCCCAAGCAGGTTGCTGTTTCCTTCCCGGAAGAAGGTGGCGGACTGCCGTCGTACTCCCCGCCCCTGCCCACACTGTGTGTGTGTGTGTGTGTGTGTGTGTGTGTGTGTGTGTGTGTGTCACGTGTGCATCTTGACGTCACAGCCCAATGAACTGGGGTTCACAAATACTTTTCATTAGATTAGATATAACTTGCCAAAAGGGAACCTCCCCAGAATTAGGTAAGTGTGTGTGTGTGTGTGTGTGTGTGTGTGTGTGTGTGTGTAGTCACATGTGCTTCTTGACGTCACAGCCCGCCGAACTGGGGATTCCCACCACCAGCCTTCTTCCACTGTCTGTTTGTGGGTTTTGGAGTCCAGAGGTCTTGTTTGGAAAGAGCTCCCTGCCCAGAGGAGCTCCACCTATAAGGGGAGAAGGAGGCTGTGGGTCACCAGCGGAGTGCAGCGTCTGCGGGGGGGGGGGGGGGGNGGGGGGGGGGGGGGGGGGGGGGGGGGGGGGGGGGGGGGGGGGGGGGGGGGGGGGGGGGGGGGGGGGGGGGGGGCGGCGGCACCTCGGCTCCTTTCACTCTGAGGGCTGAGATTCAAGAGTTGGCTAACCTGGGTCGCACAATAGGTATGTGATACAACTAGAGTTTGAATCCAGGTTGTTCTGATCCCAGGAGCCAGGAGTTAGATGGTAAGGTACTTGACGTCTTTGCTGTCTGCTCTGCCGTAGGGACCCAACCGACCTGACTTTCCAGGCAAAATGGAGTTGGTAGATGAAGAGGGGGGGAGCTGCCTCAGGACAAGCAAGAGCAAGCTTGCTTCCAGGGCCTTCCGACTCCAGGTGTTTTACAACCATCCTTTTGCTCTTCTTGGCATCACCTTTGTCCTGTGGGTACCCTGAGTTCAGCGTCTGCCAGGCTGCACTCCTGCGGGTCCAGAATGATAAGTTATCACTCTCTCCCCCCATTTCACTGGGATTCCAGCCTTCAAGTCTAGGCTGTCTTCTCACTCCTCTTTACCCAGTTGTTGGCTGAATTCCATCGCCTTCCCCCTCAGGGTTCCTTCCAGCCCCAGGCCGAGTTGCACTAGGGTCTTTACAGTAGCAGTAAACGCCTCTCTTTCTCTGCTCACGCAGGAGCTACATGGCCGACGTTTCTGGGGGTGTCAGCCCGTCATCAAAGCTGCCCATTCGTTTCATCTGCATCTGTCAGTACCCGCGTCCTTCTGTCCCTGTATCAGCTGCCTCACGTGACTCACCTTCACCACTAAAATATTATTATTTCTATCCTAATTATTCCACATCTCAAGTTGAAATCCAGGTTGCACTCTAGGCTTTCAGGGTGTTCACATCTGTGTGTGTGTGTTATACACGTGTGGAGATAGGAGGCTGAACTTGAGGTGTCTTTCTTCACCTTCCACCTTGTTTGAGATGGACTCTCTTTACTACTGCCTCCATCACCTCTAGACTGCCCAGTCTCTGCCTGGTCCAGCAGTGGTGCTTGGACACAGTGCTTGCCCGCCTACATCAGGCTTTTCGGGACTCCTTGGGATCTGAACTTAGGCTGTCAGACTCACCCAGCGAGTGCTTTACCCAGTGCACTATCTCTGGGCCCAGGAGTTTTGATTCTTGCCCCTGGTCTCTGCTCATCTAAATGACAAACAGTTCTCTGATATGCTAAAAATTAAATGTGTATTTTTAATTAACTTTATTTACATATAATAAGATGCATCCATTTTAATGTAGTTTGATGGGTTTAAGAAATGTATATACCCATGCGCCTATTATCTGAGTCGGCACATAGGATATTCCCATCACTTGTCCAGAATTCCCTGTGTCCTTTGTCAGCTTCCTCCGCCATTGGACCCAAGCGATCAGTCTGGTTTCTGGCGACAGAGTGACTTTCTCCCGTAGGTTTATGTAAATAGGTTCATTTGGTAGCTCTCTTCTTGTTTAAAAACAATTAAATAAAAATATTTTATTTTATGTATACAGATGTTTTTCCTGCATGTATGTCTGTGCACTTGTGTGCTTGGTGTCTGCAGAGGCTAGAAGAAGGTATTGGATCTCCTGGAACTAGAGCTACTGATGGCTGTCTGCTGCTGTGTGGGGGCTGGGAACCCATCCTGGACGCTCTGGGAAAGCAGCCAGAGCTCCTACCTTCTGAGCCATTCTGCAGCCCTAAGAGTTACCTTTGCTTTATTCATGTATGGGTAATGTCTGCATGAGTGCATTCCACATGTGTGCAGGTGACAACTGAGGCCAGAAGGTGTTGGATCCCCTGGAGCTGGAGTTGCAGGCAGCAAGGAACAGTTCAGTGTGGGTTCTGAGAGGCAAGCCTAGCGTCCTGGAAGAACAGTGTGTTCTCTTAACCTCTCAGCCACTGTCTGGCCTGGCGAATGCTTTTCTGTTCAGTGTGTTAGTGAGTATTTCTCCGTGTCAGAACCGCTGCTACATTGCTTAGCCGGATTCACTAGCCCCACAGAAATGGCGGTTTATTGACCAGCTCACTTACTGGATGAAACCTGAGCTGTTTCCAATTCTTGGCTAGCAAGAATAAAGAGGACAGATTGATGTGGGAGTGTAATATACCAATCTGTTGATTCCATTGGTGAAGCAATAAAGAAACTGCTTGGCCCTGATAGGTTAAAACATAGGTGGGAGGAGTAAACAGAACAGAATGCTGGGAGGAAGAAGAAGTGAGCTCAGAGACGCCATGCTCCCCTCTCCCGGAGAGACGTGATAGCTCTGCTTTCTGAGGCAGACACATGAAGCTCAGACCCAGGATGGACCTAGGCTAGAATCTTTCCCGGTAAGACTGATGCTACACAGATTATTAGAGTTGGGTTGATCGGGGATATCAAAATAAGCCAGTAAGGGCTAGAGCTAATGGGCCAAGCAGCGTTTAAAAGAATATAATTTGTGTGTTGTTATTTTGGGGCATAAGCTAGCCGGCCACTCCTATTACTACAACAGATCTTTTTGGAAGTCTATTATTTGGGTAAATAGCAGTAGAAGTGAGACCTCTAGGTTATATTAGGTGTAAGTGTGCTTTTGTGTGTCAGCCTGCTCTGTGCCATCACCACTATCAAGGCATGTGTCATGAGAGTTAGTTTCCCCACAGTGAGCTTAGGCCACACATGGAACCCTGGGACTCCTGGTGAGAATTTCCCTAGAGCCTGGAAAGACCCAGAGTCCATAGATCTCGTGAGGCCATGTGACCTCCCTGCCTGTGGTCTGGGAACTGGAGCTGGTGATGGCCCGTGGGATGAGCTCACAAGGTCAGACTTCAGCCAAAAGGAAGTTTTCTGTTCTGTTTGAATAATGAAGGCTTTGGGCTGGTTAGCTTTTAGTGTCAACTTGACACCATCTAGAATCACCTGGAAAGAGGGAACCTCATTTGAAAGATTGCCTCCATGAGATTGGCTTGTGGACATGTTTGTCTCCATTGATGATTGATGTGAGAGGGCCCGGTACCCTGTGGGTGGCACCATTCATACGCAAGCGGATCTGGACTGCACAAGAAAGGTGGATGAAGGCAGATGAGTGTGAGCCAGAGTGTGAGCCAAGAGCGTGAGGCGGCCAGCACACTCTCCGTGGTCTTTACTCTGGATTCCTGCCTTGAGCCCCGGCCCAGACTTTCTTCAATGATTAACTATGACCTACAGGTGTAAGCCAGAGAACCCTTTCCTACTCTAAGCTGCTTTTGGCCATGGTGCTTATCACAGACACAGACAACACACGGGAGCCGTCCTTGTTACAGAGAGATTTAATTTCCCTGCCTGAGTGAGGAAAGGTCTAGTCATTACACAGCCATTAGCTGTTCTGAAAGGGTGTAGGGTGTTTAAAAGGGTGTAGGGTGTTTAAAAGGGTGTAGGGTCTTTAGCTAGACATCTATAAGGGAGAGAGAACTGTAACCGCGGAGGAGGCCATAGGAGCTGGCTGGCTCCCTTGAGCTTGGGGGACAGGCTGCTTTTATTAAGACGAACTTTATAAGATTGGAGGGGAAAGGCACTCTCTGAGCTGGTCCTGGGGCCTCATGATGGCTGGAGTGAGGCTGGCTTGGGACCTGAAGGGAAACAAAGCCTTTGCCAGATTAAGAAAACCCAACTGGGATAAAGCCAATGCAAACAGGAAGCAGTTGGCCTGTCCTCCTCTCCCAACCTTTGCACCCTCCCTCTGGTGTTCTCTTTAGTCAGCCTGTAGAGCTGCAGCTGGCACTTGGGAATGTGGTTGACAGAGTGTCTTAGTTTCTACTGCTGCCATGAAATGCCATGGCCCAAAAGCAAGCTGGGGAGGAAAGGGTTTATTTGACTTACACTTTTATGAAAGTTTGTCATGAAGGAAGTCAGGACAGAAGCTCAAACATGGCAGGAACCTGGAGGCAGGAGCTGATGCAGAGAACATACTTTCCTGTAGAACCCAGGCTCACCAGCCCAGGGATGGCACCACTGTGTGGATGGGGCTGTCCCACATGGATCACGAAAGAAGAAAATGCCTTAGAAGCTTGCCTGAGCTGGATCCTCTGGTTTGCTGCTATTGTCCTATCTGGACTGACAGACATTTGTTCATGGCTCCTCAGGAAAAGTCACAAGACAGGTGTCCCCTACCTCTAGGAGGCTCCCAGACATCTGGGATTTGGTCTTGGGTCCCTGTCATCGCCACCTGATGGATCCCCTCATATTCATTGTCCAGAGTGCTCCGAAAATTCCTTGTGAAAAACTAATGGCCTTGTTGCAGCAAACTCATTTCTGAGGATTTGGTGACACACTCTTTGAGAAGAGACAGTTACACGCATGCACATCTCTGCGGACACAGGGTCCTGATCATAGAGCTTCATCTCACACAGGGCTTAGGGAAAGCTGATCATAGAAAGCAAGAGAATGGAGTGGCTGCCCCACAGCTTTAGGAGCAGCTACTGGGAAGAACGGGTTCTGAGCACAGCATTAAGTGAAGAAACCGCACAGTTTATCAGCAGAAAACTGCTGGCCTAGGACCAAGAGGAAGTATGGATCCTGACCAATGAATCTTGAGAGACATCAGTCACTTGATGGCGAGGAGCCTTGTGAGAAGCCGGAATTTGGGGGTCAGAGTAAACTGGAAGGTTACAAGCACACTCGGAATTCAGCAGACACAAAAAATGAGCTCCCTTTTCTGTGTGCATCGGGGAACCCCCCAGAGTGCCAAGGGGATGTTGGCATCTTGCAAAACCTGCCTACGATCCTGCACCTGCAAGAATGAGTGGTGTGTAGGATTCACTCTTCCCCATCAGGAAGCCGCTCTGCAGCTCCTGGCAGAGCCTGTCAAACAGACGCCCACGGGGCTTCTCACACAGCCGGGAGGATCAGCAAGGGCGGGCGCCCTGTCTAGGGAACACCTTCATGCCTATTAAGGATCCATGTCTGATCATTGGGGCTTGCCAGAATGTTTGCATCTCTCTGTCAAGAGAGATTTGAAAGTAATTCAACAGGAAGAATGAAAAGTCATTCCTCTAGGTGAGAGGAGTTCTGAGACAGGAAATCTCTCTAGGCAAAGATGTCTGAGCCACCCCCCCAGCACTGCACGGACACGGGCTAGGCTGATCCAGGGACATTCCCCTGTAGTAATACGAGCAGTGGGGCTGCGTCCCCAGCACCCCGGCCGCCTGCTAGCTTATGCCCCGAAATAACAACACACAAACTATATTCATTTAAACATTGCTTGGCCCATTTCTATCTAGCCTCTTCTAGGCTAATTCTTGCACCTGGGCTAGCCCATTTCTAATAATGTGTGTAAGCACCCCAAGGTGCGCTTACCAGGAAGATTCTAGCCTACGTCCATCCTGAGTCAGAGCTGTCTGGGAGAGTGGAGCTTGGTGTCCCTGCTCCAGAGAGCAGAGCTGTCAAGTCTAAGCTCACTTCCTCTTCCTCCCAGCATCCTATTCTGTTTACTCCACCCACCTATGTTCTAAGCTATGAGGCCAAGCAGTGTGTTTATTACTTAACCAATGAAATCAACAGATTGATATATGACACTCCCACATCATTCCCCCACAGCACTGCACGGACACGGGCTAGGCTGATCCAGGGACATCCAGGCAGCTCCGTCTTTGCAGACCATTTAGGACCACGTAGACCTAGATGGAAATGTACAAGCACAGATATGTTAGTTTAACAAACCTCCATGAGGGCCTGCTGATGGGATTAGAAAGGATTCCCAGTGTAGAGCTTTGCACCTAGTGTGGGGTTTTTCACCCAGTGCCATCTTTCCTGTTAGATGTGGGGCCAGAAACTCAAGTCCTCAGGGCAAAGTAGCACATGGAAGGCGGATCTTGGCTGAATGAGGGCCCCAAGACTGATCAAGCCTGCAAAACATCATGCTATCATTGCAAAGACAACTACAGCCTCTGGAAACAACAATTACTCTTTTTAAAGATAGGGTCCCACTGTCCAGCCCTGGCTGGTCTAGAATTTGATATTTAGACCAGGCTGTCCTAGAATTCACAAAGATCCACTTGCTTCTGCTGCCCAAGTGCTGGGATTAAAGAGATCTGTAACCACATCCAGCTTTCTGTATGCATTTTAAGACCCCCCCCATTTCTCTGAAGAAAGTTATTGGGACTTTGGTGGGACTGCTTTCAGTAATATGGCCATGTTTATAATATTAGTTCTGCAAAATGTTTGCTGCTTAAGTCATGAAATTTGTGGTAATTTTGTCTTAACAGCTCAAGGTGATGAAGATGTTTCCTTCTTCATAATCTCATATGATTATCCCCCAAACTTCTTCAGTTCTACTAGTGAACAGAAATGGCAGTCTTTGTAGTTTTTCAGTTCCAAATATTACCTCCTCCTCCTCCTCCTCCTCCTCCTCCTCCTCTTCTCCTCCTCTCCTCCTCCTCCTCCTCCTCCTCCTCCTCCTTCTTCTTCTTCTTCTCTCTCTCTCTCTCTCTCTCTCTCTCTCTCTCTCTCTCTCTCTCTCTCTCTGTCTGTCTGTCTTGCTCTCTTTCTCTCTTTCTGAATTGTGCCTAGGTCCTTGAAAACACCAAACACCATGATCAAGGCAACTCTTATGAAA